GCCCCTTGGTTATCACCTGCAATATAAGATATGCATTAGCCATGTAGGAGCTTCAAGAAGGCTTTATTATTGACAGCTTAGGGCTACTTAGACAAATATCGCATTGATCCGGTGCTAATGACATTACTGGGGATGTTCGCTTCTGTCGGCGTTATTGTCCAGGCCGTTCAGTCCTCATCTGCATCCCTTCGTTTAGGACCCAGTGCCTGATCGATAAATGTGCGTTGCGTTTTCGCAGTTAATTTTAGTGGTTCTGCTTTGTCTACAAGTCAGCAAAGCGAACAATACGTTCCACTTATTGCATACAGCTTTCTAGTATGGTTGCAACGGCATCCTGCATGCCACTGATTCGGCTAAGCTGTAAAAAGGCACGTCAAGTGTTGCGTCTGCCATTACAGTCATATTCGCTTCTACTTTCGTCAGTGACCTAGTTTCGCATCCGTACGTCATTGCCTTCAGCAGTGGTAAGGAAGACCTGGGAACGGCCTTTCCAGTCTGACAGGTTCTGTTTCAAAATGAACACTCAGTTTGTCTTTATAGTTTAGTACTGGTTTATCAGGTCAGGTTGAAAGGAGTGGATCTGCTTTAGCAAAAATCAGTGGTAGCCGTTACTAAAGACTACAAATTATACTGTAAGGGATAGGGAGGGTTGAGGTCAACAAAGGGAGGAGGAGGGGGGGGGGAGGGGAAGAAAGGAAGCATGGAAACAGGTATTTATATGGTCTGGAAAGTACAATTCACAGTGTAAGCAGATGTGATGACTGTGTGATAAGTCTCTATGAATTTCAGGTAAAACATGTTTGCTGATTGTCTTCAGCAAAGATCAGTTTCCGGACGTTTATGTACCCACTGTCTTCGAGAATTATGTGGCTGACATTGAAGTTGATGGAAAACAGGTTTTTTTTCCCTCGGCATTTTTGCAGTAATTATAAAATTTATTGATTTTTGCTCAGTTGCTGAGCATTCTATTAACATTAGCAACATGGAATCCGCGCAGTGAATGAATGGTCATTTAAATATTCTCTTTTACTGTTGATATTTACTGTCTGTTATTCGTACATTTGACATTTCTTCTAGTTATATGATAAATATCATTTCCTCATTCGTTGGAAGCTCTGATGAAAGCGAGAGGACATAAGGTGTGAAGAATTAGCAGTTATGCTTAGTAGTGCTAGTATTTCAGTTGGGCATTTATATATATAGAAGTGGGTCTCGGAATCAGATATATCTGATCAGGGATTCGAGATTTAACGCTAATGCAGCACTCGCATTGCTTTTCCGGAAAGCCATCGGTCTTTGTAATATTTTCGTAATTTTTCATGAAAATGTAC